TTTACCAAAGTTGTCACTATTTGTGGAGGCACTGTAGGTACCTTTCTTGCCTTGCTAGAGAAATATATTTGAACACTTCTAAAAGCTTATATGTGTGCATCTTGAAAGTGTCTTTTATTTCCAGTAAACCAGAATACCAGATGAAAGCATTTAGCTAAAATCATCAGTCATCAAATAAATAAATCTTATTCTTTTTGCCTGAGACTTATTTTATCGTAAGTAACTACAGTCAAGTCAAATATTTTTTATTGACAAATTTTTCTGAATATTATTATAACAAACATTTACAATATTATAAAAATGGGAAGCAAAAAAAAAAATACTTTGACTATTAAGCAATTGAACACATAATATAATAAAGTAAATACATGTATGTATTAATTATTATTATATATTAATGTTAAAGGTGTAAACTATTTAGTAATTTAGACATAGTTATTAAATTATACAAGATTAAATTTTATGTAGAAACATGCAAAGTTATGCACTTCGGGGTAAAGAATGCACAAGCAACTTATTCCTTAAATGGTAGTAAATTAGGGATAACAACACATGAGAAGGATTTGGGAATTGTTATAGACAACAGATTAGGCAGCAATATGCAATGTCATTTGGCAATTGCTAAGGCCAGTAAGGAACTGTCATGTATAAATAAGGTCATAAATTCTCAGGATGAAAATATAATTTTGCCTCTCTATAAATCGCTGGTAAGACCACACCTTGAATTTTGGGAACCTGTTCAAAATAAGGATATTATGGCACTAGAAAAAGTGCAGAAACGGGCTACAAATTTGATAAAAGGAAGGAGCATTTTAGTAATGAAGAAATGTTAAAAAATGTAATTCTCTTTAGTTTGAAAAAAAGGCACCTCAGAGGGCATATGATAACATTATACAAATATATTTGGGGCCAGTACAAACCATTATCTGGAAATCTATTCATAAACAGGGCTATACATAGGACACAAGGTCACTCATTTCGGCTGGAAGAAAGGAGATTTAGTCTAAGGCAAAGAAAGGTTTCTTTTACAGTAAGAACAATAAGGATGTGGAATTCTCTGCCTGAAGAGGTGGTTTTATCAAAGTCCATTCAGATATTTAAACAGCAATTGGATAAATACTTGCAAAAACATAATATATAAAAACTCAAAATACAGCGCACTCACCCATCCACTAAACAGCAACTTCAATGTTGAAAGATTTTATTACTTTAAAAAAAAAACACCTATCATATACTTGAGTATAAGTCGACCTGAATATAAGTCGAGAACCCTAATTTTACCCCAAAAAACTGGGAAAACTTATTGACTCGAGTATAAGACTAGGGTGGAAAATGCAGCAGCTACTGGTAAATTTCTAAATAAAATTAGATCTCAAAAAAATTATATTAATTGAATATTTATTTATGTGTATGTGATGCAGAGTCTTGGTGGGGGGGTGGGCATATTTATTATTATTTTTTATTATTATTATTATTAATTTTTTTAATATTATTAATGTTTTTATTTTATTATTATTTAAATTTTTATTTATTTATTTTCATCCCCCCTCCCTGCTTGTTAGCTGGCCAGGGAGGGGGCTCTCAATCCCTGGTGGTGCAGTGGATGGGCTGTGTAGGAGGGGGGCGGGCAGAGAGCTGTAACTTTCCTGCAGCTCCTGTCAGCTCCCTTCTCCTCCGGTCCTGTCAGCTCCCCTGTCAGCTCCACTGTAAGTCTCGTGGTGTGACTGCCGCGCGAAGCGTTGCCACGGTAATGCTCAGACCCCACGGCTCTTGCAAGACTTACAGTGGAGGAGAAGGGAGCTGACAGGACCGGAGGAGAAGGGAGCTGCCAAGAGCTGCAGGAAAGGTAAGTTACAGCTCTCTGCCAGCCCCCAACAGGACCGCCGGGCTTGTAATGAGCCCGGCGGTCCTGGTCTGTATTATGGCAATGTAAGTTGCCATAATATAGACATTGACTTGAGTATAAGTCGAGTGGGGGTTTTCAGCACAAATAATGTGCTGAAAAACTCGACTTATACTCGAGTATATATGGTAATCTAGGCAAAAATAATGGGGATTTAGTTACATTATATGATCATACATTGCATAAGCCTGCCACAACATCAATGTACCCCATCTTTGGCAGGTACTACACTAACAGCCTAATGTCTGCTCTTATGAGATTAACTTGGGGAAAAAATCAGCAGTACAATGTACAAGAGTAATGTAACTAAATCCCCATTATTTTTGCCTAGATTAGGTGTTTTAAAAAAAAAAAAACTAATAAAATCTGTCAACATTGAAGTTGCTGTTTAGTGGATGGGTGAGTGTGCTGGATTTTGAGTTTTTGTGTATTGTATAAACTGGCCCCAGCAGCACCCCTTTTATGCATGTTCAGGTGAGTGCAGCACCCTGGTTTCAAAAAAATAATATACAGGGATATAATTTCTAATTGGTGAGGTAATAGCTTTTTGATCCAGAGAGAAATCTGACTGCCTTTTTGGGGTCAAGAAGGAATATTTTTTTCTAGTTTGTTGCAAAATTGGAAGCACTTCTGACTGGGTTTTTTGCCTTCTTTTGGACCAACAGCAAAAACATATGTGAGGCGGGCTGAACTTGATGGACACAAGTCTCTTTTCAGCTATGTAAATCTGTAACTATATATGTAACTACGTAACGCACCCTTGGAGTGGGCAGCTTCTGAATGTTTGACTGCAGAGATCAGCAACTTGGCGGCAGCAAATGCGGAGGAGCTATTTGCCGGCGCCAAAAGTTTAACTATATTACTCCCACGGGTTTTCAGCCACACGGCCATGTGGAGCAATCTGGTCTTGTGGCTAGAGGTGAACTGTTCGGCACATATCAGATAAGTATCGCTACACAGGGCTATGCAGCCATATATGCAGCAAATTGCAATGCACTGTGTGTTCTGACACCTATCTATTATGGTCAGCCTTATGTTTTTCAGCAATTTTAGCTACAGCAGTAGCCAGATGGGCAAACCTTCACTTCCCACATGCATCAATGAACCTTGGGTGCCCATGACCCTGATGCCAGTTTACCAGTTGTCATTCCTTGCACCACTTTTGGTAGGTACTAAACACTGCATACCGGCTACACCCCACAAAACTTGCCGTTTTAGAGATGCAGTCTAGCCATCACTGTTCGGCCTATTTAAACTGACTGCTCACGTGCTGCCTTATATATCCCAACATATTAATGTTATTCACTTCACTTGTCATTAAATGATGGTTCCAAGCTGCCCGCAGCAAAAATGGTTCAGCACTAAACAATGTTACAACAGCAGGAAATGTGATGCACCATAGCCACTTCAATATGATTAAGTGGTTATGGTGCTTAGAATATCCCTTTAAAAGGGTAATTACTGTGTTGTAGTTATATCCACCTAAAAGCCATAGCCTTTCAAAATAGGATCTCAAAACTGATGTGGAATAACTGCCATGTATTTGCATTCACTGTACCATTATAAAAGTTTCCTTGAGCAGATTGCAAAGTGTAATTAATAGGCAATATAATTGTGTGTATACCATAAACTTATAATAACATCTTGTTTTAAAGCTGAGTGAGCTTTAAAAAATATGGTCATTTTACTCTCCCAAACAAATACATTTTTGTGATATATGTCTTTTTTACTTCTGTTTCCATGGGAATACATTGGCTCTATTAGCTCAGCCTTGAGTACTAGCTACAAGGCTGGCAGCTAACGTTCAGGGAAAAATAGTGCCTCTTCAGCTCTACTCAATACAGATACAACTCAACAAATTCTCGGTTTACAGTAAGACCCAAAACATTGCTAACGGATTAAACTCAAAAGGCTATACTTGATCCGGTAGAGATGTGGACATTTATTTTAAAATAAAATTATTAGATTATTATCAGAAATAATTATTAATATGAGAGCCATTTCAGTTCAACTTTTGGGGTTTCTTCACTATATAAATAAACACTCACAAGCACGTTGAGCCTTGTATATATGTGTTTGTGTGTACGTACCTACTCTTTTTGTAAATATTGGGTATTAAGATACAAAATTATACAAATATCATATAGATCACTCCGGCATAAGAGATACAAACATTTGTAACGCTAGAATATTAGATCAGTGGGTAGCCTTGTAAAACCTAAATAAAAGTGTTCTACTAGCAGTGACAGTCTCCCAGTGACTGCAACTACACCCAGGATGAGATTATCAGAGACAATGAATAAAGATACCAAACGTCAGTAGTGCAAAGCTTGCAGGACCACAACAGAAAGTGCTTCTAGTGGCTGTCTAAGTAGTAGCCATGACAGGTGTCCCTAGGAAGCAGAATAAACAGTGCCCTATTTGTTGGAATAACAAAAGAAAAAAAGCCTTAATCCCATCAAAAAGTACTGTCAGACTTGTCTTTACCTACTTTATAGAAGGGGAGTAATGCTGTCTGACAGGCACCTTGGAAATATTTTCATTAACTTCCCTTAACTACTTTTGCATTAAATTATTTAGCCCAAAACAAACAGCCTGTATATATAGATTAATAAGCATTTAAAAAAATAAATATGATCTATAAGAATGCCGATAAATTATAAAAGAGACTCTTCTGTTGCTCTATCTGTTCAGTCCTCTGTGGTTTACTAAGTTACTCAGACAATATCGAACTGTAATATTCAGAAGAGCACAAAAAACTGCAGAATTTGAATCCTGGCTAATGGCGGCAATTGATGTTCCTTACCCTTTCCTGTGGGGCTTTATGACAGAAAACATAAGTGGTGATATATATTTTTAATAAGCTTTAACATCTTCTTGTGGGTGTTACTGAAAGAGGGGAGTACTGCTAATTCCACCAATTACAGTTTTTTTTCTTCCAACTTGCAAAGTTGCATCCGCCTACAAATACAAAGCAAAAAACAAGTTACAAGAGAGTGCAGAGAACGGACAACAGCTCAGTTAGCCTGCCCTTGGGTAGGACCCATCTCAGTTCTCAAGCTGGTTTAAAATCTTCTGCTATTAGAAAAAGAACCAGGGTCATTTGCAGGCCCGCTCTCGGCACAAAAGATACAGCAACCACAGATGATCATTTCAACCTAGTTAGGCATCATCAGTTAGTACACCTGATATTCCTCTAGTCACCGTGAGCAAGGTGCCCATGTATGAATTACCGTTTAAACTCAAAGAGAGCAAAAAACAAGTTGCAAGAGAGTACTGAGAATGGACAACAGATCAATTAGACTGCCCTTCGGTGGGTCCAGGATCAGATCTCACGGTGCCTGAAGATGAGCTAAAACCAGCTTGAGAGCTGAGCATGGACCCACCAATGGGCAGGCTAAGTGAGCTGTTGTCCATTCTCAGTACTCTCTTGCAACTTGTTTTTTGCCGCATTTAAAAGAAGTAAGCAAGGTGATAAAAGAATATAACAAAAACAAATGAGTAAGCGCTAAATAACACAAATATGCAGGAACTCTAAAAGGGAATCCCTCAAAGACCCTTTAGGATAAAACACAAAAAATACAGAAAAAGGGCTGCGCTTAGATAATAAGTATAAAAGTCCAGATAAAATAAATAAATAAAGGAGAGAAGGTCTTATCTTGCAATGTCCGTAGTGCTTAGTCCGAAACAATAATCTTGCTTTCTGTCTTTCTTGTGGATCGTCTCGTATGTAAGAGATAAAAACAAATACAAAACCACAATGGTGCATTATATCTTAATGTGAAAGGAATAAAATATAAAAGCTTGATTGCGAACTCACATATCCAAGAGCTAGAACCTGCTCTGGTGTAGAAGGCGTACAGCGGTTTAGATCCCCGCTTATGGGATATAGGATGGTTATCCTTCACGTGTTTCCTCCTTCCGTGGTGTAAGAGATGCTCAAATAAAAAGAGACAGCCAATAGTGTTCTCTGCGTAAAATTTAAAATCCAATATAAAATAAAATAAAAATGGGTACTCACAAGACAGGAGCAGGTCAACTGCTCCTGGTATTTCACACTGGTGGAATAATCCCCACCTAGGATTGCTTGGAGTCCAGCGAATGATGCCAGGTAGTAATAATAATTATATGTGTATTAAAAGATAAGTAGTACAATAAAAGATTATAAAATATACTTTAATTGTAACATTACACAATATAAAAAACCATAAACGCGTTTCGCCAATCGGCGTTATCAATATGGGTAAAGAACCTGATACCTGGCAATAGATCATTTAAATAGCATATTCAATTAATTCAAAAATTGGCGCCAAAATTTGGACAGCCAATCAGATTGCAGTAAAAAATTACATTCAATAAAACACTAGTAAAACATAATAAATAATATGCATGGGGATAGGACTAAAAAAGACATTGTAAATTATATAATTTAACTTTAAAAACGATCAGTGGTTATTGTAAAAAAACTCTGAGATGCACGGTCACATGACCGGCATCGAAACCGAAAGGAATTGTGGGATGTGTAGTTCGACGCCGGCCGGCACTGCGCAGCCGCCGGCGTCGTGAAAGGGAACTGGTAGCTGGCGTCTGTTCGCATAACAGATGCGTCCAGACGCCAGTGGGCGGAGCGAGGGGCGGGTGTACTGATGACGGCGGCACGCACAAGACAGTGGCCGCCGTCATCAGGAAGTGGGTAGACGACGGCTCACACAACGGATACTGAGTGATTTAAGTATCCATTCTTGATATTTCTGCAGTGTTCGCTCAAACGTATTTTTAAACACCTTGTGGTCATTCCAACATATTGGAGGCCACAAGGGCATTCAAGCAGATATATCACGTTTTTCGTGGAGCAATTAATAAAATCATTTATTTTGTAAACCTTGTTTGTCCTTTTTGATGTAAATTCTGTTACTTTGGGTGGAACATCAGGATTGGTGGATTTACACACAATGCACATTTTACACTTGCAGAAACCTTTAATTTGTGGGAAAAAGGATATAGGGGATTTTTTTTTTAAAGTTTTTTCTCTTGTAAAATTATTGGTCAGAATAGATTTAAAATTTTGGGCACCCCTAAATATAATATTCGGGCGTTCAGGTATAATTTTGTTTAGTATTTCGTCTTGTTTAAGAAGGTGCCAATGTTTTTTTATGATTTTTTTAACATTATTACTCTTATTATTAAAGTTAAAAATAATCGGTAAAGGCATTTCTGTGTCCGTAGTTTTGGGTTTGTATTTTAGGAGTTCATTCCTATCTTTCCCTTGGATCTCCATGATTGTAGTTTCTAATTCTGATTTTGAATAGTTTTTTTCGACGAATTTATCTTTTAAAAGATTCGCTTGTATTTCAAAGTCTTTAAGTTCTGAGCAATTTCTTCTCAGTCTAAGAATTTGACTTTTAGGGGCGCTGTCTAACCATGGTTGGCAATGACAGCTATTTTTATCAATGGCAGTGTTAACACAAACCTTTTTAAAGAAAGTTTTTGTATGTACCATACCATCTTTTATAAAAATATCAAGGTCTAAAAAATTGATTTGTTCTCTACTGTATTCACAGGTGAGTATTATGCCTCTATTATTCAGGGTGAGGTTGGTGATAAAAGAATTTAGAGCTTCTTCAGTACCATTCCAAATAAAAAACAGATCATCAATATATCTAAAAAAGGAAACCAGGTTCGCTCTCCACGCATGATTACCAAAAATGGCTTGTGACTCCCAGTCGGCCATAAACAAGTTTGCATAGCTGGGAGCAAACCTGGTCCCCATGGCAGTGCCTCTTTTTTGCAGATAAAAAGAGTCTAAAAACCAAAAGTAATTATTGTTTAAAATAATATTAATACCTTCTAAATGTACTACGGACATTGCAAGATAAAAGAATATAGTTTGACATATTCATCTTGTTTGTACTTCCTGGTGTTTCAGTTTGCAGTGCATCATATTTGTCTTGATTTACACATTCCGGTTTCTTGATTTTACTAAAATAATGGTACATTTTCAGACTAGCTTCCAGCATCATCAACATGACCAAAACAAATACTTATCCTACCTAGACTCATACATATCTATAACTGTGTGAAAGTTAAAGGGACACTATAGTCACTAAAACAACTTTATCTTAATGAAGCAGCTTTTGTGTATAGATTATACATCTGAAGTCTCACTACTTAATTCTCTGCCATTTAGGAGTTTCTGTCCCTGCAGCCCTAGCCACCTCTGGCTGTGACTCACACAGCCTAAATGGGGAAAAAATAAACCAGATATTATCTTACTTTATACGTTTTTAATATCTGTAAATTTTTATCTGCTCTGTAAATGTAACTTTCGTTACAGGTCTAGAAAGCTATTACCAGTGCAGGAGATAAGAACTTTTTATTTAAACAGACTGTGGAAGAAAGGAATTTTAAACATTACATCTCACTTTCAGAAAGTGTTTAGGAAGGCTGTGTAAGGCACATGCAGGTGTGGCTAGGGTTAAATAAACAAAGTGATTTAACTCATAAATTTCAGTGAATTGAGCAGTGAGACTGCAGGGGCATGTGTAAGGCACATGCAGGGAGGTGTGGCTAGGGTTGCATAAACAAAGTGATTTACCTCTGAAATTTCAGTGAATTGAGCCGTAAGACTGCAGGGGCATGATCTATACGCCAAAACTGCTTCATTAAACTAAAGTTATTTTGGTGGCTATAATTTAGGGCATTTATATCTATGCCAGTCAGCAATGGTACTCATAAATTAAGTCATAGGTTGCATAATGCATGTAAGTGTGTATACAGAGCCGTTCATATTAGTTTATTGTAGGAGTGTGTTCTTCGTATGCTAATTTAGTCATCCTTACATAAATTGCTCTAGGATGCCCCAGAGACTCTCTTTATTCTTACGTGTAGGGACCAATGGATGCAGTAGTTATTTGACACAGCAGATAATGCACTGTTACTTTTCATGATTGTAAACACATTATTATATACATTAACTGCAATCCTTACTGTACATTTTGTCTCTCTATTTTAAAAATGAAATTAATACATAATTTCCTGACACATAATGCATTTGTAAGCTGCATCATATACTTAGTACAGCTGGTTTTGTTGCTTTAATTAAAACATCTTGATATTACAAATTAAAGTAAGAGTAAAGGACAATATTTTACCATTTGCAGCCCTTTGTTATTTAAAATGAAACATACGAATCTTTAAATAAGTAAAAATTGTATATGTATATTTTAAGATTATTAAAATAGAAGAAAAGAGAAATGATGGGTAGGGCTAACTGTCATGACCATAAGCCCTTGCAGCTCTGCTTAATTAAAAAACAATTCTTATTGGCCAACCACCTTTCATTCAAACATAACTGGGACATCTAATACACAGAGGGAGCTACGTAATGCCCCAATTGACTCCCGTTATACATGGCCTTAGAGTTGAATATTATAAAACGCTAAAAAATAGTTTTCTTTCCTCCCACAAATAACTTTTTAATACTATTCATAAAGACCAGATTCCATTCAGCAAATTGTCTGTATCTTATACTATATTACATCTAAAGCCAGGGAGAAATAAGGACGTTGGCTAATTTCTCTCTGAATAACTTGCCCAAAGATTACAAATATTTCTTCTAGATATATTACATCCACAACAGTTGTGATTCATTCAATCTATGGAAGTACTCCACAAAGTCATATCAGCAACTATTGTGACAATGACTTCTTCTACACCTCATATTCATGTGCTCCCAAGCTTAGATACCCAAAATAAATTTTACTAGGATTCCTTGTTCCATATGTCACGAATTTTGAAATACAGATCAATTTATTTTCAGAATATCATTCTTTAAAATTATCCAGAACCTGTACAGTTCACCTCATCCGATCTTTTTATTAACAATCTTTACTCATCAACTCTTGTTAAGGACCAAGGGGTCCAACAGAGATTCCCTCATTCTCCCTTCTTTTTTAATCTTTCCCTAGATCCTTTGATTCAAAACCTGCCTAACCCAGACATCTCTCCTGGAATATCTGAAGACATTCTAAATAGGTACCACAGTCCTTGCGGGTGACATCCTAATATATATATCTGATTCTAACAAATACCTTCCTATTCTTAAAAAATATGTGGTTTTAGGCATACTTCCCTCTTCCCCCCACCCCAAAATAAAAACACCGGAGCTATTAACTTGGTAGCCAGTACTGAGTTCTCTTCAAAAGGTGGGTGTTTATATATACTCCTTTTTTTCTAGCAATTTACAGAAATATACAAAGTATATGTGTCCTTTTATTGTTTTCCAAAGCATTACTTATA